ACAATTGAAACAACTATGTAAATTTGTTGATCATCTATGCTATAAAAAAAGTCTGGAATCTTAAATTTCACATTTTGAAATCAACGAAGTATTTATATTTCAAATAAAAACTATGACTAAGTATATAAAATTATTGAATTTGACTTTTGGAATACAAGAAAAGATGAAAAGTGATATTTGTTTTAAGTTGATTTCTGACATTTGATCTAACTTTCCTTAACTATTACATTTTGGTTGATTTGTTGAATCATATGATTGCCAATTCTTTTTTCTTCCTTAAGCTTGCTTGAGATTGTGATATGTCTTCAGTTGAATGTTATAATGTCGGTTGCACATCTCATGCTGACAAACAACGTGAGATTTGATCTCATGCATACATTTGCTTTCACATTCTTCCCTTCATTCTTTAAAAGACATTGTTTTTTTTAAGGAGGACGCGATTTATACAAGAGTTGAAATTATGCTTAAATTTTAAATGTTTTGATGACGATTAAAAGTGCGAATAAAAATATCGAATCCCAAATGAATATCAAATTCTTCAAACTTTATTATTTATTTACGCCCTTTAAGAACATTTTTCTTTCCTCTTCTTTTTACAGAAACCAATAATAAGACGGTCTATCTAAAGAGACAATTATTTTTATATGTTTCGCAATTGGCATGCTAGATTTTGAGATGTACAAACTTATGAGCATTTTCTTTAGAGCACGTTTGGGAGTGCTTAAAAAAAGAGCATATTTGCCGACAGTTTTTAAAATTCATTTTTTTCAAGCTTATTTTCGATCATATGTTTTTCTAATAGAATAATTTTATACTTGGATCCATAACATTTTCCTGCCTATGCGCGGATAAAAATTATATTTGACAAGTTTAAATTAAGCTTTGTTTGTATGATTATGACATGTTTAGTAAAATCAAGTAAACATAAATAATAGTATTATGTAATAAATGTATCCTTGGTGTATAAAATAATATTCAATTAATTATTAGTAAATAATCCTTTAATTCTATAATCATTTGCTATTGTATACTACTCACTATGATGCTCATGTTTGCATTCATTAGCAAATAAGGAATATAGTATTAAAAATTTAGCTTATTGCTTAAAGAAACCATATTTCCAAATTTAATTAAATAAGAACGTATTTAATACACAGTATCGACCAAAGAAGATTAAATTGTATATTAAGCAAGCTTTTATACTATTCATTAATATATAAAAAAGAGTAAATTGGTCGATATTCCTTCATTTATTTCAAATCTTAAATTTGTATATATAAAGCTCGAAGAACACGCACGAGTTGGCTCAGTTTCACTTTCAGTGAAATTCAAGTATTAAGAGATTTTACATTATTTACTTAACAATGGAGGTACTCTAAACATTAATTGTCATAAATTGATTATTCTACTCATTAGTTTGGTTGACGGAAAAACTTGAAGCAACAATTCAATCAACAACCTAATTGGCAAATCACTAAACCATCATGTCACCTTGCCATAAGTGAAGTTAGGTTGCATTTTATGGACCAGATTGGAACATGATTATAATGGATATAACTAAGAATAATGATACTTTGTCAGAAAGTATGTGACAGATATATTGATATAATAGATGTTGGCAAGATGTTATTTAATGAAAAAGGTGACTGTATTTTAAAAAGTCCAATGATATATTGTCATGTGACATTATGTCAATCGTTATGTTTATGTAGCATGGTTGCATAACTAAAATAGAAAGTACTATAGTGAATCGAGGTTGACAGTGTAAAAGAATTGCCACTTACTATGTATTTTCTCATCTAGCTTATGTTTGATAATCGAGACTATTGCTCTTGACTATCTTCCGAATGAACAACTATAGAATATTATCTTTTAAATGAAAATTTAAAGAAAACTATCCAAATTACAATTTCATTCTAATTTCTTATACAACAAAATCCAATACTCCAAACATAGCCTTAATGCATATAAATGAAATGACCAAATTGAAATAAAAATTGAGTTAATTGGAACATTAAAAATCAGATTTTAATAAATTTTGATATAAATTGATGAAATGTATTTTTGAAAAGTTGTGAATCCTATAAAATATATACTTAAAATTACAAAGCATGCTACTGGTACAATATTTTTTTACATTCTTGTTTGACTACATACACTTGTTAATATCACATTCATCTATTTAAAAAACTGTTTTTAAAATCAATGGTCAGTTGTCAACCATAATTGTCAACAAGGATTGTACAACAATGTTAATTCTAAATGTAATTATTAACTGACTTAAATTTTAATTCAAATTTTAATCCACATCAATTATGGGCTTAGTAAGTACAAATATTTAACCCGCAAGGGTTCGTTTAGCAAGATTTTTGAAAAGTTAAAAGTTACCTATGAGATTAAGAAACTGTTTTTAAATAATTTAAATAATTTTTTAAAAGTGTTTTGTCTAACAAGAAGAACTTTTAGAGAAAATTGTTATAAAAATATTTCTCCAAAAACTCTTTTACAAAAAGTAAAAGTAAAAACAGGTAACTCTCTCAAAAATCTTAGAAACTCCATCGATCAAATTTTAAATATATTACTTGGCCCCCGTTTGGTGGCAATTTTTTTTTTTTGGAAAACATTGTTTTGAATATTGAATTTTTGGAGAATGTGTAGTTAAAAAGTAAGAAAAATTTTGAATTTACGTGTCGAATATTTTATTGTGTGAATGTGTAATTAAAACTGAATGTGTAAAAAAAAAAAAGTTTTGAAAGATTGGGAAAGGAGGGACTTATTCAAAGAGTTAATTTGGTGCTTCAATGATGAGCTATCAGCTATGACCGACCCGTATGATAAAATAATGGGCTGTAATGCCGCGGCTGCCAGTTTGATAGGCC